GAGAATGCTTTTCGTGCGGTGTCGTCCAAATTAATGGATTTCGCATTTCCACGAAGTTGGTCGGTCAGAGGTTTCATAAGTAATGCGCATTTGGGTATGAAACGTCTATAGAAACTTACGAGGCCATTGAACGTGCGTAATTGCTTGACGGTGGTCGGTTCTGGGTAATCCAGAATGGCCGCCACTTTGGTTCTAAGGGGTCGGATACCTTGAGCATCGATAGTGTGTCCCAGAAAGTCTAATGAGTCGGTTCCAATTTGGCATTTCTGAACGTTTACAGTTATGCCATGTTTTTGTAATCGTTCGAAAACAAGATCCAGATGCTTGAGATGTGTTTCTCTGTCCAGACTTGCAACTAGGCAGTCGTCAACACGCGCATGTACGAAGTTGAAACCTCGAAAAACGTCGTCTATGAATCTCTGGAGTGTTTGGGCCGCGTTTCTTAAACCGAAAGGCATTCGCAATAACTCATAGAGTCTGGAGGGAGTAATGATTGCTGTTTTCGGTATGTCGTCAGTAGCCATAGGGATTTGGTTATATGCTTTAACCAAGTCGATTTTCGAAAAGACTGTTGTACCTTTCAAGGTAGCTGTCAAATCGTGAATGTGAGGCAACGGGTAACGATCGGGAATGGTTTTCGCATTCAATCGTCGATAGTCACTAGTTGGACGCCAATCATTGCTGTTCCTCTTAGGTACCATTTGCAACGGAGATGCATATGGGCTGTTTGACGGTCGTATGATTCCTAAGTCTATCATATGGTCGAACTCGTTTTTCGCAACCTTAGCTTTTCAGGAGCTAGTCGTCGTGCTTTAGAGAATATAGGTGGTCCTGTAGTCCTGATGTGATGTGTAACGTTGCTGGTTACACACGGTAGTTTCGGTTGAGTTTGTTGTATCCCAGGGTACTTATCGAGTAGTGGCTGATAGAGTGGGTCTACCATATGTTTAACTGTGACTGGGGATACTCTGCAACCAGTAAAAGAAGTTACGCAAACAGATAAATTAGTGTTTCCGTCTACTAGCCTCCGTTTGCGCGTGTCGATGATCAGATTGTGGTGTTGTAGAAGATCCATACCAATGATTGGCATAGAAACATCTGCAACAACGAAAATCCAGTGAATGGGTTTGCGTAAACCCACGTTAAGGTAAACGTACACTTTGCCATAGGTAGCGATAGGTTTTCCGTCTGTAAGTTTAGGGTCGATTCGTGGAGTCTTTCATTAGGATTTGCTGGGAGAACGCTAACTTCTGCGCCAGTGTCGACGAGGTAGCGAACTCTCGTTGTCACATCTGTGACGAATAACAGACGGCTTTGTTCGCCGGCTACGGTTGCCGTTAACGCGTGCCGGCTTGGAAGTTTCCCGAGTTGTTTTTCGAGTCACTCGGTTTCGTATTGGAAAATTGCAGGGTTTTCTGCAATTTCTGGAAAACTTTCCATACTGGTTATGATACCAGCACCAGTCGGGGTTATCTGTCTCTCGTGGTCTAGAGACAGATCGCTTACGAGAAATGCTTCTACGTGAAGTGCGCGATCTCTTACGGTCGTTACGAAGATTAAGACAACGCGTGAGTGTATGACATAACTCGGTTATGTCATTCTGAGTCTTTTGAGGTTTTTCTTTGACTGAAAATACCTCGGTAGTAGAAGGTTTCGTAATTTCTAAAATGCGGTCGGCAGATGCAGCTAGCTCGTCTAAGGCGTTGTTCTGGAACGAGATCAGAACTGCTTGCACCTGTTTGGGGAAGTTTTGACAAGAAGAGTTGTTTGAATAGACCTCTCTCATCCGTTTCAACATGTCCGTCGCAGAACCGTGTTGCAGGTCGATATTGTTGAACAGTTGACCTAACCTTTTTCGATCGGTTAGGTCTCCTCGTTTAAGAATCGAGCGTTTTAAGAATTCGTAAGGATCGGAAACATCACTAGTAAACATACTAGGTGTTACGTACCTGTTGAATTCGCGCGGTAGTGCCTTGACTACTGCGAGGAATTATGCACGTGTGTCGATCACGCCGCGCTCGGAGAAGTCGGCTTCTGCGTAGCGAAACCAGAAAGGCATCAGTTGAAACGAAGGTGGGGACAAATTCTTAAGCTTGAGTAGTTTAGGTGTCTGTTCAGTCATGATGAAATATGAAGTACGATAATGAACTAGGGGAAAAATATATATATATCCAAGAAAACACACGAAAAAAAAATCACAATGTTTAAAAAAATAAAAAATAAGGCAATGATATATAAAAATCCCAAAAAGGAACAGACTCACAGTTGCAATTAGGTGTACCAGATCACGTCGGTCTCACCAGTGATGATGTCACAGGTATTCAGTGTTTGACAACGCTTCTACCAGTAACACCTAATATATTTCGTTCCCGCCCAGAGAAATCAAAAGACAGAGTCGAGGAGATCGGAAGAGTACATTTGGCGATGACCAATATATCGGAATTCTCTGATCTAATCTGGCTAGCGATTGCGGTTGATGTTGAGCACGGCGTTACCACACGTGATCTGGTGCGGATGCATGACCCAGGGCCTTCAGCTAGATGAGTCCACTAAAACATATGGTCAGCATCCAATGTCGAAAACTTAGAGCTACTTATTTTGGGGATTTATTTACCGCTACAATACAAACACCACCCACACTCAAACAAATTCTACTATTTTTTTACACTTATGGATCGTTTGACACAACAACCAGAAAGTCTTGTTATTAAATTTCATCTTAAGATCACTTGGACACTTGGGTCACCCATCGGTTATTAGGACTCATTGTAGGTAGCGGTTCTAGTTCATCTTATTCATACATGACAAAACTTTTAAGTCTGCTTTGCAACTGAGTATACAGCAAAATGGAGAGATGCAGCGGAAACATCAAAACTGTTAGTATGTACTGTTAAGTATTTATCAAACCGCCTGTAAATATAGATGCGGATTGAAACTAATGTAACTTGTTAGGTCGTATGATGTTGCTATCAGGTGACACGTACATGTTAATGCTTGCATAGTCACTGTGGCAGAATAGTGAAGTAGAGCAGTAGTTAAACAAATCAGAGCAGTGATTCTATTAACCATCGTCTTGCCCTTTGGATTTCAGCCGGGAGCGCACTAGTTCATATGTCTTTGAGTCGTGAGCCACAGTCCTGAAAGCTGATATGGCTTGTGTGCTTTTCAGGCACAGAATAATTCCATTACACTTACGATTAAGTCTGTCAGCGCTATAAAGAAACTAAACAATTGAATTCCACTACCATACACTTCTGACGTTAACTATGTCCCTTTCAAGTCTAATTGTTCTTGAGAAATTAACTTCTGAGTTATCTAATTGAAGACACTTAGTTCGGGATGAATCGAAAATAACATCCCACTAACCTGTTAGACATATAAAGCTAGCTAACAGTGGCTGTTTCCAGATAGTCTGGAATAACAGTGTTATGACTTTAGGCTGCCAATAGGTTGTATAGTTAGTGAAATTCTTCTCAGAACTAGTTGATGTACTCGATATGCTGGAACTACAGTTAATGTTTCCTAAAATATACTTGACTACTTTTTAAGAACGGTCTTAAATATCAAACAGTATAAGCTAAATGACAGCAAGTCCTAAAAATATAACTTTTTTTGGCCAAAATTCGCCTGCGTAACCTCTGTCACATAACTCATTCACATGGTCGGGCAGGTTATCAATCAATAAACCATTTATCGACTAAACCGGATTCACTATGAATTTAATGTAAAATTGTAATATATTACAAGCAATGCAAATTTTAAGAAAGTTAGTTAACAGCTTCAGACATTTCATCAGAGAGGCTTTTACCAATAATATGACGTTCTTGTTAATGGATGAAAAGTACTGCTTCAATTCTAAATGGTTAGAATCAACTAAGTTATTTAATGAAGCAGGTACACTTCGATGAAATTACAACAATTATCCGTTAAATTAACGTATACAAACTAATTAAAACCTATACTTACAATATTAGGCATTAAAGAAATACTTTTTATTTATGAATATTCTTTTGATAATTAAAATAACCCATAGTGTCATTGAATAAGAAAAAAAGAATTCAGCGAAAAAAATTTTCTTTTGGACGAAATCATTATCTGACCCATAAACGATTTTCTTCCTTACTCTTTGATTAGTACATAACCTCATTTGTTATTTATCCTCGAATCCATTTTGGTAATGCATTTTTTTCTATCCTCCTATAGACATACACATTTTCCATATACCTATATATACGAATGTACAGCTTAAGTAAATGATTTCGTCGAAAAGAAAATTTTCTTCGCTAAATTCTCTTTTTCTTATGGAATATTCTTTTCAACAGTCTTATATATGAAATTTTATTGTGTTAGAAGTCATAAACAATGAATATTAATTCACAATTCTAAGGAAATATACAGATATTTAAATGAGGATTCTAGATACTTTAAATTTGAGTATAAAAAAAAATTTAAACACTTTAAATGATCAATCAACAAATGGTTTAATTTTATGAAATTTTTGACACAAAATATTTCAGTCAATCAAATACAAGATTAGGTGATATAATAAAATCATTCATTTATAACATCTAATTATTTACTATAATTTTATCATTATATACATTATAATGTAATTTATACTTGATATTGAAAGCTTGAACATGATATACTTTATATAAAAGAGATAAAATACTCAAATAAACTTAATTAATATTCTCAATGATAATAAAGGATATTGTGCGTAGTTATAAACTAATAAAAAAGCTTATTAGGAATGTAAACTTTAACGATAAATAAAATCATAAAATAAAAGGAAAACAAAAGTAACAATTAAAGGGAATAAATTTGAATAATAATGTGATACAAAATATTACTAATATATGTATGAAGTATTATTATGCTATGTCACTTTACATTATGTTACATTAAATGTTAAAGTAGAAGAGTAAAAATTAATCAGTAACGATATTCATTTATGATTATGATTATTATTATGCTAAGCAAATAAAATTACAGTTTATTTAAATCATGATTGAACCTTGACGACTTCTTCGAGTTTTTGGATAACCTGAGTCGACAAGAAAGCGCTAAGAAAGAAAAAAACAAGTGGATTAAAAAAAATAAATAAATAAGTATATGTTTACTTTAGTTTAAGCAGTGAAAATTTTATTTTAAATAATTGAGATCATGAACCGATTGATGTTAGACCACCAACACTTGGAAGCACTGGATGGCCGTTTCGTCCTATTGTGGGACTCCTAAGCAGTGCGCATCCACGACCCCGCTCACGAGATTCGGTTCATGATCGATTTTATGATCTCAATTAAAAATTTAATAATCTCCACAACCCCTATACTGATAACAGTAAATAAACTTTTCTTAAAAATAAATGTTAAGGACTATCTATGTACAACTGTTAAGAAACTACTTGATCAATAAGTACATAAGAACAAATAATTTGGAAAAAGAACTACGTAACACTCAGTAGAGAAAAAAAAGCATACTTCGGTAAAATAATTTGTAAATAATCATAACTCTATAAAGATCATAGAGTAATTAAGAATAACTTCATTTTGTGATTGACTCTTTTATTTCTAATTGAATTCATGTGTTGATCTAAGCTAGAGTACTATCTTTTATTTCTATCAGAAGTTATATTATCTTTTGGTACTTTGCAAAATGAATTTCACAAGCTTATAACCATCATCTCTTTATGTATATTTACATTCAGATCACGTTAGTGGTCAGTTCTTTATTTGTGTAAAATAACAAATTACTAGATTTGTTTGTACACAGAGAATAATAATAAGATATATGTAGTGTACAGGCGATATAAACTATGTAAAGGTTAGTTAGAGATGTATTCATAAGTAACTAGTGGTAAAATTCTTCGGTATTGTACGGTCCATTACAATTGCTATCGAATTCAAACAAGTTTACTGCTTAATCAGCGGTTCTGCTACCAATTTATAAAAATAATGACAGTAAAGTAAGATTTAATAATGCAACACTATCATCTGGTATGAAGTTCCTGTAAAACTATTAACAATAACTGTCAATTCTACATAACAGTAAAAAATTTTGATAAATTAAGGAAAATATTTGACATTTCTTCCCGAAATCACTATCTTGTTAAGATTCATCCATTCGAAATTTCATCCGAATGTATGGCAAGTATGACAGAATTTTGTTATGTACTAAGAAAAATGTCTATCAGCATTCATTGATAAATTTCAGTACACTAATAAGTTCTATCCTCGGAAAGTGCCACCGATCGGTTCAACTATAGCGCCAGACCACCAAGCGCATCATTGAGTACAATTTCGGGGTTGATACAATATATAACCAAAAGGAAATGTCGTAGTAGCTTTCTGTGCGATTAAAACGTAATCCATTTAAGTAATAGAAAATATTCTTTTTAAATTACGTTACAAACAAGTAAGTATACAATTCAAAATATTTCTTTTTGACAAACTTTCTATAAATAATAGCGGTAATAAAAATTTAAAAATACACTTTGTGATAGGATTCAAATTAATTAATGAATGAATAAGATTATAAAAATAGACCTTATTCATTGACTTGGATCAACTCTTGCTATGCAAGTTTACGAATAGTATATTTTACATAAGAATATTAAGACAAAACCATATTACAATAAAATCAAACTCTTTAATTAACCGAACTCTGAATAAATAAATGTTAACATCATCTGAACAATATACTGTTTCCAGTAAAATGACAATCAATTAAAAATCAGTAGAAATGTCGAATTATGAGATAACTCCTGTTTATCAATCTTTTCTTATTATTGATAAAGACTCTGTTGTTACTATAACAATGAACTACTGAAATTCTTAACATGCCAAAATGTTGCATTTCCACTACTGAATGGAAAGAAAAATGTGATGGAAGTACATTTTTTTGGCTTATAATAACAATAATAATCTAATATATTCTCTTTAGGAAAATTGATTTTTATCAAATACTAAGTTAGTTGAACGACTAAATACTTAACTTTTCAAAAAACAAAAATCAGTAGTACATTAAGGAAATGAGAAAGCCAACTAAAAAATGTCAAATTAATCAATCGAATAAATATTCATACTCTTACATCATTCTCCAAAGGTGAATCGGATTCTTCAGTATCATATTGTGGATGATGATTATATCTGTTATGAATTCCAACAGATATAGGATTTATGCGATTAGATTCTTTCATTTGTCTGTCATGTTGCAATGCCTGTTATGTAATACACAAACATATTTATATAATAATAAGAAATCGAACCGACTGATCAAAATACAAATTGGCTTCAAATTTTTCCCAGTTACGAACGACCGAATAGGTTTGTTTTCATAATCTTAACGTAAGTACAAGGCGCAACTACATATGCTTCTACCAAATTTTTCTGGATTTATTTAAGCAGATGCTGATTTTGTGTGCTATGTTTGATTTACTGCTAATATTTCTTCGCTGATAAATTATCTTCATCCCAGTAACTTTAAAATTGTTTTGGTTCATATTATTAAATTGACCTCTCAATTCTCGTCAAAGTAATTTAGCATACTTGAATTGTGTCTGACAATGAAATCAAGGACGTGAGCTTTATTTTGGACTCGTCTTCTGTGTATATTATTATTATTATTATTAATGGCTCTATTTTACATATATTTCCATTTAGGTATTGACGTTTACCCTGAGACTCGAATTTAGTCTCTGTCGATTCAGATTCCAACGCATTATACACTAAGTTATTGAGTAAAGATAGTACTAGTTTGTTTACCGCTTGTGATATTTATTCGTAAGAGTATGTGCTATCACGCTGTTTTTATTTGGGACTGAATTTTACTTAGTCTTTCCTTCAATTTAGAATCAAGAAGGTTATAAAGAGGCATGTGCTAATAAGTACACATACAAAGAAAGATTGATTAAAATTTCATCGTGAATATTAACGGGATAATGCAAACTCTTGTGAGTTATCATAACAAATTAGATCAATTGTAATTATAAAACGTAGAGTAGAATAATTCACTAGATATCAAGCAACATGTCATTCAAGAGATATTTAGCGATACTACATAGTTTAGTAACTCCACGTCTAACTCTTCTAGGGTTAATGCTGGTTTCAATCTCGGGTAAAGGAGGATGGTTGGGAATGAGGTTAGAAACACAATCTCGTTGAATACAACCTTGCTAAAAAATGTCAACCAGAATAGATACATAAAACCATCGTACGGAACTCATACGACAGACTACACTGCAATGACGTTTATAGAGGAGATCTGACAGATGCATTCCATGTGAGGACCGGTGTCGGACAAGGCTGCTACCTCTCGCCCATTCACTTTCATTTGCCGGTTGACTAGAATTTAAAGACCATGAAAAGTCTTGTTAATATGAACGCTTTATTCGGTTCTTAAGCTATTCTGGTAACCCGCAAGCTAGAACTAAGAAGCGACCTGAACTCGAGAGAAAAAGTGCAAAATAAGCGAAAAACACTTTACTCCAAAGGTTCAGTTTTGTACACAAAAACACGGTATTTATAGATGTTAACAGTTGTTAAATCAACATCATATTTTGGCCAATCCGCTGAAAGACATATTATGCTGATGACCAATAGTAGCACGCCACATTGATATTCTAGAAAGCTCCATCACGCTCTGATTAGCTAGGACTCTTCGGCTCCTTTAGGGCCTCTGGAGGCTCCGTTGCAGTTCTCGGAAAGCTGACTCAACAGACCTTTATATCTCAAGGGAAGCGCAGAATACAATGGACAGTTTCCATGCAACTAGACGATTTGGGCTTCACACATGATCAAGCCCTTCTATCTCATAAACACCAACAAGTGTAGATGAGGGAAACTAGTGTAGCGGCAGCCTCTGCATCAGCAGGCCTCAACATACACAAGGGAAGAAGCAACATCCTCAAATACAACAGGGAGAACACCAACCAACCCAATCGCACTTGATGGAGGAACTCCAGAACAGATGGAATATTTCACGTAGATGGACAAAATCATCGATGAACAAGGAGGATCTGATGCACATGTAAAGGCAAGGATTGGCAAAGCAAGAACAGTATTTCTGAAGTTTAAGAACATATGGAACTCAAAACAACTAAATGCAAGCCAACATCAAAGTGAGAATTTTCGGTATGAACGTCGAGACAGTAAGTTCTATTGTATGGAGCTGGAACGCACAGAACTACTACAATTATCATCAAAATTGTACAAGTGTTTATAAACTATTGTCTACACAAGATATTCAATGTCTGTTCACTGGATACCAACAGCAACAACCCACTGTGGCAGAGAATAAACCAGGTTCTAGATGAGGACTGAATTAGAAAAAAATGGTGGAGATGGATAGGATATACATTATGCAAGTCATCAAACTGCATCATGAGACAAACAGTAACTTGTATTACTGAAGGTGAATGGAAAAGAGGAAGGCCTAGGAACATATTGAGACGGGAATCGGAAGCAGATATGAGAAGTGGGAATAGCAACTGCAAAAAACGAGATGGGATTTTGTAGGACCGAGTTCAATGGAAAATCTTGGTGGGCGGCTTATACTCCTCCTCGAGGGTTAACGGGTGCAAGTAAGTCATTATTAATCTAGCAAAGTAAAATAATATTAATATACAGCAATTGTTTACGCAATTTAGTCGATTTTTTGATACATTTACTGGGTAAAGTGGAAATAATTTTAAAGAGATAATTTACTGACAAATCTATGCGTGAAAAGCAAACTGTAATAATGTTATCAACCACTTCGCGGAGCTTTACGCTGTGTTGTTAAAATGAATTTCTACTGATCCAAAAAACATTTCTCAAATTCCAAGTACAATATTATAACATTTTGTCATGTGGTATAAACTGGTAAATGGCCTAATATATAAATTTACCTGATTAGGCGATAAACGATGTTCATGAGATGGCGAATAAATATTCTTTTCAGTATTATTCCAAACAGTCCGTACTTCATTATGTGGTTTGTGACGATAATCATCTGCTAATAACATAAAAAGAACTGCTTTTTGAAAAAAGTTTGAAGTAGTGTGGTTTGTGCTACTTATGCTGACAGGTATAAGTAGTATGTAGCAACAATCAGGATTGAAATGCCTGCCAGAAGAAGATTGAATTGAAGAGGATAGGAACGGAAAAGAATGGCAATTGAAAAATTACGACGCAAAGGACAAATGAAGGAGGATGTTCAAATAATTGGTTTAATGTATGATTTTCATATTTCGCTAAGACTTCGTGTAAGTTTGTATTAACAAGAAAAATTGGTTTTCCAGACCGGAGTTTTCTTTCATAACGGTAGTTTTCCATTAGTTATTTGAATGAATTTTTTAAAATTAGGATTTATAATCGATTATATTTTAGGCCTCAATACAATTAATGTTCAAATGATTTCAGCATACAAAAATTGACAATTAGCTAAAATATGTATGGTATTTAACGTGGTGCTTGAAGGTAGTCGACATGAAACACTGGAATTGGGTTCCGTGCCATTTATTTCCTTTTCAGCTAACTCAAATTACCACCCTACATCTCAACATAGTGCATGCGATATCATTCACTTAAAATAGTGGTTAAACCGCAACCTGGTCGACAGAATTCGATCTGAACTAAGAAGTACCCGGTACACATGACATTGGTCACCACCCGGTGATCGGTCAATTATAAAGATATGCAAGGAACAAACATAGGACTGTTTATTCAGTTAGAAAAATGGCATGCCCCCATTACGATGAAATATGTTAATTATAAAGTGCAATGCTGAATACTACACCTAGCAAAAATTCAGTGTTTATATTTGAAAATAGAATAATATTGCTTGACCTTCAGTTTAACTTTTCATAAGCATTATAACTTGACCGAATACGTTGTCTATAATTTATTTCCCTGAAATATTTAGTCGGTTGTGCGACTTTTTTATATTTTTTTCCAAATAAATTCAGCATTGGGTGGAAAGTTAATAAAAAATACATTTTTGTGATCTCGGAATGAGTAGAAAAATGTATTTCTGACGTTTCGTGACTTAATATAAGTCACTTCTTCAGAGTGAAGTTGCGCAATTGTTGTGTTCTCTGATATCCATTTGACCGAAATTCGAATTTTGAGATTGTGAATGAATCGTTGGTCCGTTCACTTCATTCTATTCAATAATTACACTAGTCAGTTAAGTAAAAAAAATGTTCAAAGCATTCTTAAACTTATCAAGCATTACGATTATCCAAGAATTAAATTGTTAAAAAAACTATGATGTCTAAATTCCAGACCGAATGAATAAAAGTATGAGACTGAATTAATTTAAAATAGCATTCCAGTTAAGCTGATAAGCGCAGGATTAAATTCTCATAAATCTATATATTCTATTCTATGTAATACTTTAAGACAAATCTTACGTTTCAGCTTCAGGACTTTTATGCATAACTCAGCAGTTGAATTGGAATTGTTCCAGTGACTCTAAACTAAACGGTTATCATTACCGCAGCCTATGTGTTAAAATTTTCCTAACCTAACTAATAGCTGTTACATTCATGTTTCTTTATTAAAATAATTCTATTTCAACTAAATAAATCTTTAAGCCATGAGAAAGTATTTTTTTCACTAAACCTTTGACATGCTTGAACAATGTGTGGTAATAGACATGAACAGCTATAGTTGAATCAGTCAGTCCGTAACAACGTAGAACTTCGTACGTACGTACATCAGTTCAAGTTCCCACACCACATTAACACAGAGATGCAGTTGTCGATTCAAATCCCGTAGTGGTAGAGGTGGTAAGAGTATAAGAAGTAATCGGAAACATTAGAGTTTGAACATGTTATTCAACGAGTATAATACAGTGAAATAAATTTGGAAAGAGGAAAAAAGGAAGGGACATGAAGAAGTCAGAAGATTAGAATTTGAGAGAACACAAAGAGTGGATGCACCTGCGCAATCGCAAACGATTTCGAGTCATGTCATTCAGGGTCTCTAACCATCGGTTGCTATCATCTCGTGGACCCCAACCACGTTGTCTACACCTACCAACATGGCTCAGTCCGCTTGTCAGTGACCTCATGGATTTGTGTCATGTTTTGGTCTGTCCGCCCCTACCTTTCTTCCAACCTACTCCTACACCAGGAAACATCGCAGGTCGGTGCAGTCGGTGGTTGGACATACGAAACACATGTCCCAGCATTCTCAACTGATGAAGTTTCACCACTTCATCAATTGATTTGCCATCCTTGCCTACTACCCGTTTCCTAACAACTGCATTACTTACTCGATGGTCCCAGGATATACGACCAATGTTTCAAAGACACCTATGATCGAATACTAGTAACCCACGAATATCCTCGTCTCTTACCGGCCATGTTTCACATCCATAAAGTAGGACGGAACGACGTGCTGCGCAGTAAACACGTTCTTTGGTTGATAGACGGATATTTCGCCTACGCCATAAATGACGCAAGTAAGCAAAAGCTAGTCGAGCCTTCTGTATCCGTGCTGAGATTTCGTCAAACACCAGACCACAAGAGTTGATGAGACTTCCAAGATAAGTGGAGCGGTCGACACACTCAACTACTTCGCTCCCTATCATTAGTTCGGGTGTCAATGCAACCCAATCCTGAAGTAACATTTTGCATTTCGAGGGAGAGAACCGCATCCCGAACATGCTTGCATTGTTGCTTAGAGTGGTCAGAAGACTCTGCATTTCGTCAGCGTCTTCACCAAATAGAACTATGTCATCGGCACATTCCAAGTCAACAAGTGAATCTCCTGGCAGAAGTTCAACCTCTGGAAATTTAGATGAAGAAAGTGTCATCTCTAAAAGCACGTCAACGACAAAGTTAAACAAGAATGGAGAGAGTGGACAGCCCTGACGAACACCACCTGAGATAATCAATTCTGATGACAGTTCACCATAAGCTCTCACTCGACCAGTTGTGTTCGAGTAGAGAGCCTTCACAAGGTTAACGTACTTCTTCGGTACTCCTTTCAGTGACAAACACTGCCATAGAAACTCACGATCAACAGAGTCGAATGCCGCCTTAAGGTCGAGAAATACTACCATTGTGGGGCGTCTGAATGTGTGTCTGTGTTCTAGAACCTGACGTAGTGTGAATATCTGATCTATACAACCACGTCCAGGTCGAAAACCAGCCTTACTTTCTCTAGTCTGCTCTTCACAAGCTTTGTTAGGCGTCGAAGTATTATTGAAGCTAATATTTTAGACACTATGTTAGTCAGACTGATTCCTCTGTGATTATCACAAGAGGACTTTCGTCCTTTCTTATAGACTGGCAAAATCAGTGATTGAGACCAGTCAGATGGGATCACGTCCAGTTCCCAAATTCTACCTAACACCTCAGTTAATCTCGATGCTAATACTGAACCACCATCCTAAAAAATATCAGGAGTAAACCTGTCAGGGCCTGCTGCTCTCCTCGCTTCTGATTTCCTATGCCTTTTTCAACTTCGTAAAGAGACGGAGGACCTACATTAACTTGTCATTCAGGTTGACTAGAGATCGTGGGAAACCGAAGTGTGGCTGAAGGCCAGTTGAACTGATCCCTAAAGTGTTCTGCCCATCGATCCAATCTCCTGGATTAAGAATGAATAATAGGTTCATCTTCCTCTGTAATTGTTTCGCTAACTTTCGGGTTCCTAATACCGGTTTCCTTAACAAGTCTGAACAATTGTCTGCTATTACCTATTGCCGCTGCCATTTCCATCTCTCTTGCTTTCGCTACCCACCACTGTTCACGATCATTGCGTAGGCTTCTTGTCAGCTTGCGCTTATCATTCCATGCTACCTCGAGGTGGGTATCACATACATGGCTGCCTAACTGTTTTTCTAGTTGTTCCTGAAATATACTCTTAGCTTGATTATTATTATTAGGTAGGACCCTAAGAGCTGCAACAGACGGTCGCCATTATCTGAATTTTGAGCCACGACACCATAAGATCCACCCAGGTGTATTTACCTTTCGCTCAGTTTACCTACTTGAGTACTAAAGTCACCAGCCACTATTACTACATTAGAGCGCCTAGCTTTTCAGAGAAGCTTTCTGTAAAACTTATCTATTACATCATCTGAGCTGCAGTTAGTGGGAGAATAGGCAGAAACGACGAAGAGGCAACGACGAGTGTCCCTATCTTTCCGAGTCCTTACTATTCCGTTTAGTCGAACAGCGTACAAACCATTGTCTACTGGGATCCACTCTAAGAGAGCTAGTTCTGCTCTACGACTCAATGCTATACCTTTGCCGGCGTGGTCACGAGAAGCAGCATCAGGGCTTCCAGATACACGAAAAGTGAATCAAGTCGGTTCTTTATTTTTGCATGGTGAGATCAAATGAATGACGCTACTCAGATCCTAAATGCGCGTTTCGGAAACGCAGCACACATCGATGGAGCGGGATTCTAAAGTCTCGTGTGCTGTTATGGGTATGAGGGCTGATATCACTTCCCGGTTGGCCACACCGTGGAAGGGTATTTCTTGAGGAACCTGAAAAGGAAATTGGATTAATGTTGGTCTTAACGACCTGAGAGCGTGACCGCAGAGCCCAAGGGACAACTACTTGAGGTCGGTCGCGCACGGCCTTTCCGTGGGAGGTTTTCAATGTGTTAGCTCCGTTCTTCAAAGGGCCTTACCGCCGGAGACGGAAATCCGTGAGGTAAGGTGAGGTGTGACAATTTTAGGGTTAACCTTTTCTAACCCCTTCCTTCCTTGTGAGAAGGCAGCATCACTGCAGATGCTGGTTGTCCGAGGGAAACACCTAACTGCTGTCACACCCCTCTACAGTCAGCAGTACGACTTCGCCCTCAGACCTTGAGTTGCTGCTTTTAGTCTTACCGTTCTCCAATCGACCTGCCTGGCATGGTAGAACTTACAGGAACATATATTTCAGCCAATATAGCTCGGTCGAGTCATCACGATAGGCAAGCCCGACCACCGCGTCAAGGTAGCAGCTACGGTCGGGCTATAGTTGAATAAATCGAAATAAGAATTATTTCCCACGGTTTTCCATGTAGCTATCACTTCATGAAAAGTCTTGTATTTTAACATTATAGTGGCAATATTGTTAATCACAGCATTATTATTTTTGCCAACCATTTTTATTCAACTATAGAATGAATGAATACTTGAATAAAAATGGTTGGCAAAAAATAATAATGCTGTGATTAATAATATTACCACTATAATGTTAAAATACAAGACTTTTCATGAAGTGATAGCTACATGGAAAACCGTGGGAAATAATTCTTATTTAGATTTATCTTAATGTACTCTTTCTCTATTATTTGAATATTAATGATTATATAACTAATTTAAAATAATTCACTTGAAATTCGGTGATTTAAACAATACATTCAATTCTAGGACATAACTGAAAACTTAACATCTTAATCATAATTAAGTTTCTAGGTATTTCTACTAATTCACACTTATAATTCTTGATTTTTTACAACTTAAGATTATTAATTAGTAACATACAACAAGGGGTAATGTGTTTGTAACCGCGGTAATTTACAACTGTACCTACCATCTGAAAGTAATTCTTGTTCATCCACATAACGTCGTCTATTATTTTCGAATTGAGTTGAACCTCGTCTTGGTGAAGAAATTGAATTTGAATAATCTCTAGATCCATTATAATCTTGATCAATTTTGCCTTTTCTTTTGTCATTTTTAAATGCATTACTTTGACGTCGATGCGTTACATGTGACATCTCGTTTTCAACAGACTGATTTGAGTTTGCACCTGTCCCAATTCCAAGGATACGTTCAGCTTTTGTGACTTTACCAGTTGGATGACTGGCTCTCCAATATGCTTCTAAATATTCAGCTAAATGTTCACAGGCATCTGGAAGTTGGTTTTCTTCTAAAATCACATCAAACTGATCCTTAAAAAAATTTAAAAAACATATAATTAAAAACCAAAATAAATTAATTTACTTTATTTAATTTTTACGTTTCGTATTGTGGAAAGATACCAATAATTAATCGCAAAAAGCCCCACAAGAAATCAAAATTGACAAAAGTAATTTCAGCCAGTCAGCACTCCTGATGAAATTCAGTAGATTTTATAAGTCAGCCTATTTATCTTCGTTGATTTTATTAATCAAACAGACAAGTTATCAGCAATTGTGGGATACTTTTTAAAAATCCCCAGAACTTGAAAATAACCAAATAAATAATTTTTGACTTACCGAAATGAATCTATGAAAGTGTAACATTATTGAACTATTGATAATGATAAACGCTATCAGAAATCATGACAGCAAAATATGTCAACAACATATCGACTAAAAAATATTCCTAAGTAGTGTACCGATGAAAACGAAACCAGTAATAAACCATTGTTCAGTACTTACTATAAACCTAAATTATGTGGCGAGTACCATCAACCAATAAAGTCCCGTGTGTGGGATCGTGGATACACACTGCTGAGGAGTCTCATAATAGGACGGAACGACAATCCAGTGCTTCCAGGTTTTCAATAGTGGTCTAGCTTAGATCGACTCATGAATCCAACCATTAAAATTAATACAATCTTCACAAACCACCATTCTGACGAAAAAATCTATTTATACAACATAAGTTAATAACAAATAAAAAGCACTGAAGAAACTTCTATATGGACAGCGATTCTTATTGTGAGTCGTAAAAAGTATTTTTCAGGTTGTTTAGCGATTAAAACATTTTAAGCAATGTAAAATGAGAGCTTGACATTTATTATATATATAGCATTTAGTTAGTAAAGCATTTCTCTCTGCAATTGTGTTATACGGAAGCAGTTTGGAAGAAATATTTCACTTAAAACTACACGTAACTATTTTTAAAAACGTGTTGAAACAAATATATGACTTGGGCATATAGAATTATATACATGTATGATGAAGGAGTTTACGTAAATTCATAAGACATTCATACAACTAAATGTTTTGAGATTTCAGCACAACATCACATAGTAAAATTATGTACAAATCCCGTAAGATAACCGAATAATTAATCAGGGGTATTTTAAGATGTTATGCACCAAACAAATAGCACATAACTCTAATCTTGTTCTTCTGCTGTAATACTCCTTAACGATCCTATTTATTTCATTCAAACGTTTCTTCAATGATGATCAATTCGGTCTGATCTTTTATGCTTAATTATTTTAAATATCATTGAAAGCTTTTTATTTACCTAATATTAGAATAATGTACGTAGAGATCATTAACAAACTTTAGTCTTATTTATATGAGTTCAACATTTGAAATCTTTATTAGAAAATAAACATTTCTAGAAAATATTGAAAACATTTGTTGAGTCGGCTTCCGGAGAACTTCAACGGAGCCTCCAGAGGCCCAAAAGGAGCCGAAGGGTCCTAGCCAATCAGAGTATGATGGAACGTTCGAGAATTCCAGCGTGGCGTGCTACTATTGGTCGGTAGCATAATATGTCGTTAACGGATTGGCTGAAAAATGATGTTGATTTAACAGACGCCAACATCTATAAATACCCATGATTTTCTGTACAAGAATGAACCTTGGGATAAAGTATTTTCTCTCATACCTGTGTCTTCTCTCTGGTGTTCAAGTCGCTGTGTAGTTCTAGACTGCGGGTTACCAGAATAGCTTAGGAAAACGAATATAGCGTTCGATCGACAAGACTTATCATACTGTTTATTTGAAGGAATAACTTTTACAGAGTTAATTTATTCTCAACTTACATTAGTGCATTGTAAGAGTTTTTCAGCTGCAACCATTTGAACATTCATGTTTCGTGCTTGAGATTTACCACGTGTTTTAATCAAACGTTGAAGTACTTTTGTTGAACTTATTTTTAAATAAACTGTAATTGGTGCAAGAGATGTTTTAGATAATTGACTTGGATGATTAATTGTATCACAGTCCAGTACGACGAGTTGTTGTGTACGAGCTAAATCAAATATGCGTTCGATTTCCTGTTGAACCTCTTTAATCAAGAAGAAAATAAACAACAATAACGACAACAGAACACATACAGAAACGAATTATATGAAATACAAGTAACCATCAAAAAACTTGTAATTTCACAATGACACATTATAAAAGAAGCTATTTAGAAACTGGATAAAATACTGCATTATCTAAAGGCAGGTAAAAATTATAGGTTGATGGGATATATACTGGAGTTGACAGAACATTTAGGATCTTCAGATACCATTGAGGAGAAATTTCATTCATAGTAATGTAAAACAAAATATGTTGAAAAGGATGAATTTTCAAACTTTCATTTTGAAACTATATAACTAGTTGCAGAAACTTGAGACTAACATCATAAGATCATACTTAATAGGCGACCTTCAAGGCTATACATGATAGTTCTACTTATAGCCCTCTATCCCTACGAATAATATTATCTACAGTAAATCCCAACAGTTCTCTCAGTGCTTATTCATTTCGTCTTATTTCTCAAATGTCAGTGATTATGGATAGAAAATGTTCCAATGGATCAAATCTGATTCGCTAGTGATTGTGTTTCATAATTTGGTCAGTCAAATTGAGTTTCAGCACCTTAGTTAGTAAAATGAATTCAATTCTAACTCATCAATTTTAGTTTATGTAGAACATACATCTAAGTAGTTACATACCCACTGAAGCTACTTGAATATGATAGGCTATATCTGTACTGAACATATATACGACTGTGTGACAGGCGGATAACAACTAGGCTTAACAATCTGAAATTATTTGACCTCTAGATATAATATGTGCCTGATCCTACGTTGTAGCTGACTGACTGACTGACTGGTTCTAAATGCATATCATGTAAGCACATGTTATGGCGAAATGAAGAATAAAAAAAATCGATCTCTTAAAAGTGTTCAAAAGCTTGCTCCTCAGTATTGATTATAATATAGCAATAAATATTTTCTATTCCTACACAAAACTAAAGGACTAGATATCATGAAGCACTTCATTGTTTAAACAAAATCATATTTACCTAATTTTTGACTGTTACTATTTATTAGCAAAAAGTATAAGTATGTTTACAAACTTGTTTATTCTGCATGAAAGCTTCAGGTAAACTTATTTGTACTGGTTGTTTGAATCTTCCCACTGATGTTTAGGAAGCCAATCGATCAATCCCTTTTTGATATATATGTATACCGTGTGGACTGCCTAGATATCAACATTAAGTCATTAGCATTATAAATAAAGATGGACGACAGCCAGCAGTAGAATTCAGGATGCGCCTTTCGACCTATTTGGGACTCGTTGGTTGGATGTACCTCCATCAGTCTGCAACTCAAACCCAGTACCTTTCGAGTCCCATAGTGGACATCAACTCTGCGATGCGCTGCTAGCCACAATTCATCTCCTTATAAAATAATCTAACATCAGATTTTAGCTAACATGATAGAAAAAATTATGTTTGGAAAGTTTTCATCAGCATAAAAGTTAAACTGACTACCTAATGAAATAATAGTATGACCAAAATTCCTGATAATTTGATATTTACCTAATGATTGATTTCTTGTAGAAGATTTATCCATAATAGCTCTTCTAGTAGGGTTATTAAGTAGGGATCGTTTAGCAAGTGATATGTCAGCCGTCACTCTAGTTATGATAATTCTGAAATAAAAAAAGAATGAAGTTAAACAAAAAATGAATTATTTACAGTGTGTATACTAGGAGAAGAAAACACCATCAGAATAATCATTAATTAGTTGAGTAGATTTTGTAAAAAGATTAGTTCACTTCAAACACTATTAATAAGGATTTAAGTTAACTGGAAAGTCAATAAGACTCATGAATACTTGTGTTGGGATATTCAGGAAAATATCCCAAAAATTATCCCGTCAAGCCTAATGCTATTCTTGGACATGAAATGGTATAATCTTATTGGTCAATATTTACTTAACGTGTTATTTTCCTGTTGGCCATTATTGTACAATGTTATCTTCTATTTTATGGTACGCTGTGGACTGCTTGACTGGTATATAAACAAAGTATGTTTGAAATATAATGATTCATATATCCGAGGCTGTGACTTGCGTTCTGGACTCATCTGGCTGGGCTATATAGGGAAGCGAGACCAATCAGAACCCTAGGTCGTTCTACGTGTTTGCGTGTCTTTGGTCCGATCAATAATTCGCTATCCCTTAATCAGCAGCATTATTTTTCAGTTATAACAACTTGACAGATATTTAATCTTAGTTTTGAACACCTAAATAACATGTATCAACGAACTTATACGAAATCGAATCCATGTGATCCAGGTCACAAGACGACCACAGTAATTAAAAGGTGCTGAGTCGGAATCCAAATGGCCGACATTTTCTAACTTCAGTCAACTTGTGGAAAGGATTGATCGGTATTAAATATTGATGGTAACTAACTAATTCCCGTTTATTATCACTGACAAAATAAGTGGGGGATTTTTACTAAGACTGAATAAAGCTTATTTCGATACTAGTCAACTGATCTCATTATAAAATTGTATTCGATGATTATCGCATCATTCTACAAAAAGGTTAAAATCAAAACACTTGTTTTAGTGAATATCATCTTCAGCATTTAGTACGACAGTGCTCATGGAAAAACTTAAAATACTTATGGTTCTATCCTATCTTACATTTGCTGTACATATCAGCAATAATGTCTTAACTAGGTTAATATAGATGTTCAATAGTCATTATTTTACTAGCTGATTAGAAGCTGAATCAATTCAAAAATGAAAATGTTCCAGCTAAAATAAAACTAAAACCCCTTAATTATTTAAATTAAGTTGAAACAATTAGGGAGGAAGAATGTATTTGTAAAAGCTCAGTGAATGGCAATCTTTTCCAAGCATTTTCAAGGAAATATAATCAAAGTTATCGAACAAAAACATGTACATGGTTCTCCAGTTAACTGTATGCTAAATAGGTCATCCAATCACGTTAACAATGTTTAAAGCAGGTCTTTGCTTTAGTGTGTTTGAGACATGTGGTGTGAAACGAAAAGTGTGTTAGGATAACGGATTATTTGTTCGTTGAAACAACTTATTGATATTATACACCGCACCTTTAAAGGGAATATATGTAGTGTCGATTAATTTACGATTTTCGTTGTTAAAAAAACACTCAGTAAATTTAGAAGTTAGAAGAATTTAGACCTGCAACGAATTGCCTTTTCTATAAAGTTTTATAAAAATGACAAGTAAGCTTTTCATGAAGTATGTATACCGAAATTAAAGAAGACCAACCATGCAATTTCGTCTCTTTTTACCCTAATGTTCGATATAAATGAACTTGTTTCATATTATTTCACTTTAACTCATATAAGTTAGTAGACTTTAATAAATTGAGAGTCATTCAAACAAGAATAACTAAACGTATTGTAGAACTAAAGCACTAAAAAATTCAAATAGTCAGTATTTACACGTCACATTTCAATCTACTGACGATAAAATAGCTATGTTTCATACGATATACTGTTTTCATGTTACTAAGTATTACTGTTTACAAACAGTCCCACAAAAAAATTATTCACGGGCATATATATATTATATACATATTTTGTAAAAAACAAAGCCTTACCTTCCTTCAAAACGCCGTTTTAAAAAGTCAAACAAGGCTTTCTGCATCATGTCAGTTACTTCATAACCTTTTAAAGAAGGACCAATTAGAACTACTGGACGCATAGATGGTACAACGTCGTAAGGAGGTAAATTATCACTCTGTAATATTTAAAAAATATATATAATTGAAGTGATCAATTCAAAGAAAAGAATTATGAATGAAGGAAATATTATTCATTGAATGTCAGTAAACGGGAGCTTAACTTTTGATTAAATAAAAATAACTGATAATGAGTTACTGTCAGTGGCTCAACTAAGGTTTCTATTACTACAGTACTTCATAAAACTGTATTCACAGAAAATAAACATAATTACGAAAACTAATTTCTATGGAATAGTTATGACGTAGCTAACAGCAGAATATAAGATGCTCGTCTCGTCCTACTTGGAACTTGCCAGCTGGAGATGCTTTTATTGGTATTACCACTGGGATTTAAACCTAGTATCTTTCGCCTCAGACACTCAACACGTTACCAAGTGAGTCAGTGAACTCATATAGACATCAGCATGTGAAACGGGTATGAATTTTATTATAATTTGTAATAATTTGAAATATCCCGTTTTTGATATACTATACTGAATTCAGATACACAAAAACTACTATTTGAAAACACACTTCATGATAGAAAGTGGATTGATTTTTTTACCGATACGTTTTTCCATGTAAGCTACCATGCACATTAATTTTTAAGTGGTAGTAAACTTAATAGTACGGATATACATCAAATAGGTAGAAAGAGGTATTTCGATTGTAAAAAGACCTTCAATATCCAGAGAAAATCTCATTTAAACGGTTGTTAGTTTACAAACCGTTGAAATCGATTTTAAATACATCACATTCTTTAACAATACATCTAACCTATCAATTTATTAATAAAATAAGAGTTTTTGAATGAAAAACTACTCAACAGTTCTTTGTGTTATTGAGTCTTAATAGATCAAAAAACATTTAAAGAAAATTATTAAAAAATTCGTTTGATTATAGAGTGTCTTGCTAGTTGCTTACATTAGTTTATAGGCATTTCCCTTAGTTATTGTAACAGTAATGGTTACACAACCATGAAAACTCATTTACTTGAAATTTTTTCTACCAATGTCACTTTTAAAAAAATCTATATTTTACGGATAGAACTATTTTAATCACGAAAGCTAACAATAGCAACACAACAGTAATCATGAATAAAAAGCATTGATACTGAAGCTTTTGAACATCATTCCGCAGGACCATATCAAAAGATTGATTCAAAAAGTTTACAATAGGTTAAAAATAAAGTCAAATCAGAGACAAGTCAACTTTTGAGAGAACTAAAACCAGTCATTGGAGTCTCTTCATGGTTTACTTTTAAATCCCAAATCATGCACCACTTAGCGTTTTTATGGTTTACCTAAAATTCATAAACCAGACATCCCACTAAGCCCGCTAGTAGACTTTACAAACACGCCAACATATGTATTACTTAAATATCTGAATAGCATACTAAAGCCACTTTAACATGACTAAGATAACATGACTAAAGTCTCCAATAACTTTAAATCAAAAATATCGGGATTAATTATCGAAAAGAATAAAATCATGGTAAGTTATGTAGCTGTATCGTCATGTAATAGTATTACTATTGATAGATCCTTAAATTTTATTAGTGGTTTACTGGAGAATGATAATACTTCATGTCAGATGTCCCTTATGCACCAGCTTAATCATAAAACCCCTAAAACTGTGCTGTAATTCAACCTTATTTACTTCTAATGGGACATTATACAAGCAAACAAAGGGAGTAGCAGTGGGATCCCCAGTGTCCCTGATTGTAGCTAACCTGTTTATGTCACGTACAGAATCAAATATTTTGCCAATTTAGACCAGAAATCTAGATGATACGTTTGTTGTCATAAAAACGACTCACCTATGATCTTTTTTTCTGAACTGATCAATACACTCTTATCTCAAATCAAATTTATAAATCAGATTGGAAATGAACATGGTGAGCTGCTATTTTTAGATTGCTTAGTTAAAAGAAATGTAAGTGGATTTCTAAATCTAACCATCTACCGAAAACCAACGCACTTAAATAGTTATATCGACTTCAGTTCAACATATTCATTGAGTGCAAAAATCTCTTTGACAATAAATATCTTTGGAATAACAAACGAGATTATTACATCTGATGAGGTTAAATAAAAAAATCAAAAGCATATACATAACATCTCACAATTTAATAATTTTCCTATAAAGATTATGAAGAGTCCAATAAAACTAGACGTTTTACTGCTAAATAATAATTCGAATGAAATACCATGGATTGGTACTGTAGTTTGACCATGCCGCCATGGCACAACAGAACTCCAGTGTCTTAAAACAACACAGAATTAAAGTATATTACAAAACAACGAATACCCCTTGAAATGCTTTAGTTTGCGTAAAGAAAAAAAGCCCCTTTATGTCAACACAGAATTGTGTCTACAAATTAGTATGTGTCGATTGCGATGCCTTATAACATGTAGGGTCATTTCGTGAAATCTTGACTTGAGCCAACGAACATCTTAGTTACACAAAAAGCCGCCTAATAATCCCAGAGAACTGAAAGACACCAAATTAAATCGGCAACAACAGTTCATGCGATTTACAAAGACCATCAAAATAATACAAAAAGGCTATTCCGAGTACAAAGAAAGTCAAGTAGCTGAAGCTTTCAATAAATTGCTTAATCCTACTACCCTTAATAAAAAAAGCCTCACTATTCATCCGACTTCGACCATCTATTTGAGTTACCATATCTGATACAGAATTGTATTTTGATAACACATGATTTTAAGGACAGAATAATCAATTTATTTCCCGTCTCTTAAAATATTAATAAATAAGTCAATTAGTAAACATTGTTCAATGTAGAAAGTTGTTTTACTGAAGAAAGTTAAATTGTAAATAACTTTAAAAATATAATAAAATTTACATATTTCGCATTTATATTTATGTACACCTAGATTTATATTGAAATGATTTTAGTATTGTTCGCTTCTATTACCAGTAATATCTGTTATATTCGCATGAGAAGTAATGTTGATATATCATATGAAGTGTATCAGTGTTTTGATTGCTTCGTCTTATATAGAAAAATAACTTAAGACGTTCTGTGATCCTAGAGGGAAAGAAATCGTTATTGTTTATATCCATTTTTGTAACTTAAACTACAGAGGAAATTTCAATAGATAACCACTGAAAATTATAGAACGATAAACATTTGTTTCATTGTATACTTTGAATTTATCACCGATCTAACCAGATCTACTAATAATTTAACAATTGCTTGGTTTATGTTAAGCTTTATTTAAATATCAAAATTGTGATCTACATATTATCAGTTTGAAGTATCTGTTGAACAGTTTGTGATATAGTATCCAAACCTAGTGTTACAATAAAAAAGATAACCTAAAGACTTTGAATAATTCAAATATTCAGTTTATCAAACTGTATCTAGATAGAACATTTGCTAAATGCTAGAAATGTGAAGAAAAATACAATAAGAATGTATATTAAACAACATCAACGTATTTCAATTATATTTGTAAAATATGAATGACAATCTAAATGCTTTTATCCTAGATACCTTTATTTCTCATCCGTACTTTCAATCGGACACCAAGAGTGCCTTCAAGACTGAATATTTTGTAATTTTAGTTAATAAAATAATATAAATGGCTATTAAATGCAATTTACACACAAAAAGTACTTTTGTTTAGTTCGTGAGTCTTTTTTCCAGTACTCTCTTATATTCGGTTTAAGGTCACACTGTCTGTAAAACATATAAATATAAACCATCTAACAAACAGAAAGTTGACGGGACATGATAGGAGCCAACAATATGATAGTCAAAGCGCAATTATCTCAACTTGAACACATAGTAAGTACCCTATGGTTTATGGACAAGCTGTATAAAAACTTTCAGCGAAATTAAGACAAAACTTTATGATATATCGATAAATAAACAATTTCAGAGTGAATAAATCCAATAGTCACAGATGTTAGCAGAAACAAAGACTGGGGAAGTTGGGAATTATGAGTTTATCCCTTTTTTAAATCCAAATAACAAATAATTTCAAACAATTAGTTGAAGATGTTAGGATAACACAAAATGTCAAAAGTTAAGTAACACAGTCAAGTATTACATATGTACTATCATCATAAGAAAATTAATAAGAGTTAAGAAATAAATAGTCTCATTCTACTCACTTTCTTAAAAAATGGCTTACGACCAGCTCTTGCACTGACGGAAGCTTTACCTGATGGTGTTTCTCGTCTGGGATTACTGTCTTCATCATAACTTCTGTTAATGGTGTCAGCACCATCGGCTATAGTTGAAAGCCACAAGTCGTGCGATGATTATTATAATCAAAGAAAATTTTTAACAATTGTAAAATATGCGTATACCTTAAAAATACACTCTAACCATGATACTGATCACAGTTATCAAAAAAAAGTAATTTTATCATAGCTTCATTATAAAATAAATATTTATAGATTATTGTAAAAAAGGTGTGTATTACCCTAGACCAAACAGTAAGCATAAATAATCCATCTATACGATAACTCATAAACATGATATGTGACCTACTACCTCATTTTCTTAAGACGATGAGCTTCAACATTAGAGATAATTCCTGAAGTAGAATCTCGTTTGCAAATTAAGAAATAAAACTAAAACAATGAAGTGAAACGCATGTTCATTTTCAGGGAAATGACGGAAAGTAATAGACAGTAGATAACCCCCAAGTAAAATCTAAAAATTTCTTGATTTTAATTCTAAGTTGAGCGATGAATAAGTGAGAACATTTTGGAATCTGTCAGCTTATCAGAATTTGGTGTGATTATCGAACAAAGCAATATTCTTTGGTGTTGTTTTACTTGTATCTTCCCAAAGTTATATTCTCCCATATAAAAACGGATGACCAGCAAACAATAACTATTTTAGGATGGCTTTCATGAGTTTCCAATCTTTTGATTGATACTCACTTAATTACTCCTGACTCGCTCGTGGAGGGACATAAGCCACCCACCAGCATTCTCCATCCAACTCTGTCCTACGCAATCCTTTCCGGTTCTTTCCAGATGCTATTCATTCTTCTAATGTCTGCTTACAATTCCCAACGCAATATGTTCCTAGGCCTTCCTCTTTTCCATTCACCTTCAGTAATACAAGTTACTGCTTGTCTCATGATGCAGTTTGATGACTTGCATAATGTATATCCTATCCACCTCCACCATTTTTTTCTAATTCAGTCCTCATCTAGAACCTGGTTTATTCTCTGCCACAGTGGGCTATTGCTGATAGTATCCAGTGAACAGACATTGAATATCTTGTGTAGACAATAGTTTATAAACACTTGTACAATTTTGATGATAATTGTAGTAGTTCTGTGCGTTTCAGCTCCATACAATAGAACTTACTGTCTCGACGTTCATACCGAAAATTCTCACTTTGATGTTGGCTTGCATTTAGTTGTTTTGAGTTCCATATGTTCTTAAACTTCAGAAATACTGTTCTTGCTTTGCCAATCCTTGCCTTTACGTGTGCATCAGATCCTCCTTGTTCATCGATGATTTTGTCCATCTACGTGAAATATTCCATCTGTTCTGGAGTTCCTCCATCAAGTGCGATTGGGTTGGTTGGTGTTCTCCCTGTTGTATTTGAGGATGTTGCTTCTTCCCTTGTGTATGTTGAGGCCTGCTGATGCGAAGGCTGCCGCTACACTAGTTTCCCTCATCTACACTTGTTGGTGTTTATGAGATAGAAGGGCTTGATCATGTGTGAAGCCCAAATCGTCTAGTTGCATGGAAACTGTCCATTGTATTCTGCGCTTCCCTTGAGATGTAGAGGTCTTTAAATTCTAGTCAACCGGCAAATGAAAGAGAACGGGCGAGAGTTACCAGCCTTGTCTGACTCCGGTCCTCACATGGAATACGTCTGACAGCTGTCCTCCATGCAACACTTTGCAGTGTCGCATGAATTCCGTATGATGTTGACGATATCCCAAGTACTCCGTAGTGTCAAAGAAGGTTCCATAAAGTTCTTCTATTCACGGTGTCAAACGCCTTCATAATCAAGGAATTTGATGTATAATGACAAAGTCCACTCAACTGATTGTTCAACGATGATCCGTAGTGTCACGATTCAGTCTATGCACGACCGATCTTTACGGAATACGACACGTTCATCTCAAAACTGCGCGTCCACTGAATCCTTCATCCGGTTCGGCAACACTGCTGAAAACGTTTTCTGGTACTGATAGTAGTGTGATTTTTCTGAAGTTCTCACACCTGCTCAAACATTCTTTCTTTGGTAACCTGATGAGGCATCTTTCTTTCCAATATATCGGCACCTGTTCTTCCTTCTAAATCTTCCTCATTAGAACGTGGAATATGTTTGCAGTTACGTCTGTGTCTGACTTCAGCGCTTCAGCTGGCATGTCGTGTGGTTCAACTGCCGCCTTCCCACTCTTCATTTGTCTGATGACCATCCTGATTTCTTCGATCGTTGGCAGAGTGACAGCTATGGGAAGGTTTGTATGTGTTGCTTCGATGCTGGTGGATTCAATGGAGCTGATCCACTTAAAGTGTTCCATCTACCAGTTCTTCTGCTCTTGAATCTCAGTGATCGTCTTGTCTTCTTTGTCCTTGACTGGTCTTTCTGGTTTACTATATTTCCCTGCTAGTTTCCTCGTTGTGTCATATAGTTGTCTGATATTTCCTTCTGTTGCAGCTTTCTCCGCTGTCATTGATAGGTCTTCCACATGCTTGTGGTTGTTAGCTCAAATGCTCCTCTTCACTCACTTATTTACTTCAGTGTATTCGGTGTGTACTTTGACTATCTCTGTTCTTGTTCGGTTGTTCTTAATTTCTGTTTTCTTGTTCTTCGTTCGTTGAATTTTGCCAAGGTTTTCGATCAAGATCTATTCTTTATAATGACGCTTCTTACTTTCCAGCAACTACTGACATGCTGAGGTCAGTGTTGTTTTGATCCCTTTCCAGTTGTCCTCCATATTAGTTCCTTCTTCTTCCAAAAGACCTTGTAAGACTTGGAACCTGTTGTTGAGAACTCTCTTGAATTTGTTCAGTTTGTCAGTATGTCGAAGGAAGGCTGTACTGAACCTTTGTAATGCTGTTTCTCCAGTTGTCCAGTGCTTCTTGATTGATAGCCTAGCCAATAAAACCAACACTTTACAGTTATTTTCCCTACAGATATCTGAGAAAAAACCCTCTGACGTCGTTTCGTTATACAATTACTGAAATTTGATAAACGCATACGAATAAAAAGCGGGTGTATATTTGTAGTTATTGATTTCCTTTCCAAAGGGAAGTCTAGAAAACCTAACAACTACTACGTGTTTAGATCAATAGGATTAATAAAACCTTTATATATTTGTGGTTGTTTCCAGGATATTAAACTATAGCGTAAGATCAAAGTAGACAAATTGCATACATGTTATATATGAGAGGTCAGATAGTTATATATGCTGCTCCTGAAGAATATAAGGGCAGGACACTAATGAGTAGTTCATCTGACCTACATTTCTTCTTCCTTTTTTTAATTTTCAGTCACTGGTTAAGTTAATTTTAGCGCTGCTATAAAGTGTGATAAACTGATATTATGCATATTTGTGCCTCGTTCTTTATTGTTTACAACCGATGAACTAATATAATTTCCTATATGCTTTTGCCTAAAACAAATATTCAAGACAAATTTATGGACGAAACAAATATGAGTACTCTACTTACAAAGAATGAGACAAAATGTGACTATAACGATTAAACATCTCAGTGGTTTATATTTATTAATTCTAAATCAAAATATTTTAGACATAATGTTACAGAGATTCACAACAAATGAGATGAAGTACTTTTATGTGAATAGAAAGGATTTAAACCTTTTAATTAGAGGTCCATATTGAGAAGGAATTTCGGTAACTAAAGGTAGACTCAAAATACAATTAAAAACTTAAATTGTTATAACATGATCTCCACTGGAAAAAATAATGGATGATTTTACATAGATATAGTTCGAAATAAAAGCAAACCCAAAATACCTGGTGGTGTTGATGGCCTTGAATTTCCAGTTCGTGAATTATCAAAATTACCTGTGGAACTTTTGCTAAAAAGAAAAATTTAGAACAAGCATATACACAATACAGTCACAGATAAAATCGAGTTAAACAGCGAAGTCAAATAACGAACTGATCTTAACTAGATCACCACTGAAAACAGGAGGTACCAGAAAGTTGTGTTCTCCTGATGTGGGACTAGTCAGAAATGTATATCCACGACCCCGCCACCAGGAATCGAAATCGAGATCTTTGATTTTGCGAGTGAGCGCTTAACTATTCATATTAATATGTAGACACAAACATGATACACATGGTGTTCGTTATATTAAACTGATGAAAAACATGGTTAATATACTTACCTCATACCTCTAGCACCGAAATTTTGCATAGCCTCCAATTTCGCTGGTGACGGAATAAAGCCAACATCACAACCTTCTTTCACTAACCGACCAATCCACCATTCATTATTAAATTTTTCTTTAATATGCAGAAAATCTTTAACCTAAAGGCATATAGATGAATAACCTTTCAGAATAAAGTCCACCTAAACCTGTTTTAAATAGTCAGGAAACAACTAGGATTAATGAGTGATTTACTATGCTAGGACTAATACTAAGGATTAGGATGGTCAATGATTTCTGATTAGGATGTAAAATACGGGATTTAGGATGTGATGCTTTAAAACATCTTAACCTATTTAAGCAGCAGTAGATTGCTAGGACAGTGACTTAGGTTTTAGAATTAGAATGTGGAGTTCAGTATTTAGTGCTAAAGTGAAGAATTCGGAAATACAGGGTTACAGATAGAACTAACGATGTCGTTTAAGATTTGAATTACGTTTTGCGCTCAGTCTGTGTACAGTGCTACGCATAATCCCACTTTAGCTCCCAAATCCTAAGATTTACATGGTAATCCCAAACTAAACCCCTAATTTTAATTGTTATGTTCAATTTCTAAATTCTGTATCTTAAACTTTAAACTTTAATCCTATCTGCTGCTATGCACCATGGCCTTGAAGCGATTTACACGTTCACCATAGCCTCGGTGGTACAGTTCGGCTTTACTATTTTCAGTGAATTAAGTTTTATAGTAGTATTTCTAAAATATCGAAAACGATACAATTAAACACGTGTATCAACAAATAATTTTGAAAAAAATCCTCTAAATACAATCCACAAATTTTAGACATCATTTTCAAATGACAGATTACACGTCGTTGGCTTTTTGAACGTTATTAATTTTTAATTGATGCTCGTATAAAATGGTTCACATTCAATTAATAAATGAAGTACAACTTTCTAATCAATTTTAAGTGAGATGTTTTGACATCATCGATCAATTACAGTTCAAAAACCATTGGAATTGGAAGTATCAACTGCAACAAAAAGCGGCTTAAAACCCCGTAATGTAAAGGCTAGTGTGTTTATCATGGAAATAGAGAATCATGTGTTTAATCTTTAGAAAGGTTACTACTGAACACTCTCGTTTAATCCAGATACATAATTATGTATTTGTCTTGTAAGTTGACTTTCATTTATTAGTTCACCGATATTAATTAGTAGAGACGACAACTAGATTACTTTCATTTACACTTTTTCTTTTTCCTGCTATTACTTCCATCACCATTATTATTATTATTCCTATTATTAGTCCTAACACGATTAATTCATGAAGGAAAAATTGCATCGGTTGTTTCTTTGTAGATGTAATAAATTGTAATGTTTGAACAGTGCTTTTAAGGACCAGATTTTATCAAATTTCCCCACCTAAGTTTTATAAATTATTCATAGTTTATTGAGTATATTTCGCTCAAACTAGACAAAAAGATCTAAACGACTTCAGTTTTCATCTTAGCTATTTGTAATTTAATGCGAATCCTCACACTGGAACATAACCATATGATAGGTTTTAAATATTCTTAAAATGAGTTAAAAGATGATCAGTAAGTGTAAATTTCGAGCATTTTAGAACCTAGGAGATTGGGGAAAAGTTTTGAAAAATACGCAGATTCACTGCCAAGAAAGCAGTGAGATAATCATATTCTATCAGTAAAGTTCTTCCTCTTAGTTGCGTATACTTATTTTGTTATACATTCGAATAATTTTGATGTGATTTATAACAAGAACAGATACACCAGATAACTTCTGAAAAAATTGCTTTGGAGATTTCCACCAGTTTTTATCTACACAGATAAGGTTTCACAAAAAACATGATTATATCTAACCCCTCGGCCAGTATCATATCCCCATAGGTGATTATATTTGAGGTTGGTCTCTAGAAATTAAAATGGGAAACCGTAACATGTGGCACAATACTAAGGTACTGAAGATTTGTACATCACTCGCTATTCAATTAACAAATATAACGAAAACAATTCATAACGCAAAATTTATACCCTGAGGAATAAACTCGATTAAGACAAAATTGCAGTTAGATAAGTTGAATCTAATTCTTTAAATAATTTACCATATTCATCGATAATTCCCCATCATAATACAATGTCGTATACATATCACAAGAAAATCTTAAGAACATTTATTTTAGAATTTACCGTGCCTTAACTTTGTACTGCAATAATTCATAAAAGATAATCCAGACAATGCTAGCTTTAAAAGGTTTGCTTTTGTCCGTTGTTAATACTTTACACTGGATGTTGATCAGTCTCTTCTGTTGTATTTCCACTTTGAATGAATGTCACAAGTATTTACAGGTTTTATCATATTTTCGGATAGCGGCTACCAATGGTGTCCAGGATATGCGTTTCGTCATACTTAGAACCTATTATATTAGCTAGTTTGGAGATCATTTTAACGTTCATAATCATAAAAAACATCTAACAAACATTGTCTATTTCCTTGTATTATTTTTAATAAACAAACTTACTTGGAAGCTTACAGCCATTCCAGGAACAGGGCAATCATCGACCACCGACCCATGAAACGCAACATTCGTTCGCACGACAAAAACAACCTTGGATGTCTAGTTTATGGAAAACAATCAGTAAAATTTTCAACGTATAAACGAGTCTGTGACCATTATAAATAATCAAACTATGCAGGTATCCTCTAACACCAAAACAAACTATTAAAAACTACTGATAGAAGTCTATGTTGGACATGGGAGTTGTTTCGTAAAAACAGCCAGAAAAGTCAACGCTATATTCCAATCTACAGAAGTAAGTAACCATCGGCGAAATGGAAAGTACTTCTAAATTGTCATCAAAAGCGACTCCACTAACTTATCGACCACAAACTATGCATAAACACTACTGTTGCTTTTCCTAAGTTGATGGACAAACTACGCTTGAACAATAAGAACTGAAGTTAGTTTTGAACAACACTTCCCATATATTTATATATATATATACATATATATGGTAGGTCATAATCATAATGTAATCAGCTTATAACAATTTTCCTCCTGAGGAACACTTTCATGAAGCAATGGTATATAATTTTGTCAAGTATTCATATTGTAAGGTGAAATGGTTTGCGTTTCTACAAGCAACTAAGAACTAAGACTTTTAATCAATTCTCAAGCAGTAAAATCAAGTTGATCACAAAAATGGTAAAAGTGTCAAACATTTGGCATTATAGTTAGACGGCAACAATTCATTCAACTTGGTATCAGAGATAAGAATTCATTTAAATACTCCATCGTGCTTTTAAATGTATGAAGTAATAAAGGTATATGTTAAGGAATAAAAAATACCTTGGCTTTTTCAAGTAGCATTCGTGCTTGTTCTTCTGTTTCCTGACGAGCATTTTCCTCTTTATAATCGTCTTCATCATCATCTTCCTCTTCATCGTCATCATCATCATCTGCTCTATCACAGTACTCCTCGTCGTCATACTCCTCGAAGTTGTTTCCGGCAAAATCGCCACCTGAATATCCTCGATCACCAGCCATTATAATCAAAAGTCTAAGCAACATAAAAATGTAATTTACGGACAAAAATTCCTAAGCACACGTTCTATCAAGATTATCAGATACTGAAACTACAATCATTAATCGTTCATTTTTAAAAACCATTTTTCAATTGTCTTACTGAACAAACACATTTTAATACATTTTTTGGTTAATAGTAAACTTTTAAAAAGCACATATTATCTCAAGGCGTAGTCTGCAAGATACAAATCTCGTAAAATGATGCTATAACTTGTCCTTTTTCTACTGTACATTATGTTTGATCAATATTAGAAAAGAAATATTTAGTGAGTAAATGATATATTCTTAAACTATCCTTAGATGGAGATCATTCAATACATCTGCAATATGGATAAACTAGTGTTTGTCTTTCTCTAGATACCCTAGAGTCATTAGCAGAGTTCACTTTATACCAACTGTCATTAGTGGCTATAACATTTGCCTTAACGATGGTCAAACCTATTTTACTACACTAAATAAACACATATTAGCAGATGTTTTCCACTTCTAACACTCTAAACAGAAGAGAACGAATCACATATACGGTATTATTTGGTCCTAAGAGCAGATAGTCACGCTTTCAGAAACCCGAACTCCATACTAAGAAACTTCAGAAAAATCTTCTTAATGAGTTTTCCCTCTTTAAATATGAAGATTGCCACAGTTCTCTCTATGTATAGTAGATATTAAGTCATCGAAAGTTAAAACAAAATTTTAATAAAGATATTGTGCACGAAATTTAATACATTTGAAAATATCAAAACGGAAGTAAATAACGTGAAATCTGAACAAAATCACAACAGACAAAAACCTTATGTTTTACTTTTCTAACAATTATAAGACTAGATATGAGCACATTATGTTTCTGATACAATGACAAATTTGTGTACGCCAAATAACAAATCTTCATTCCTTAGACTTACTAGATATTATTTACTTCCAGTTACATATAAACAAGATTAAATGAAAGTTTTGCTACTTCGTCTGGCATAAAACGAGACAACTTATACAATAAAGTTACAGACTGACGGTCCTAAAACCTTACTTTCCAACTTATAAAAAAATTGGACTACATTCATTTACATGAGTTATATTACGTCAATTTGAACAGATGCACTTATCTCTATAACCCCAAGATATCAAAAAATGAAATAAATAATGCCATAATGAGAAAGAAGACAAGTAGGCAAAAATGAAATACATGGTGCAGTAAAATGTTTACTGTGAGGAGAGTATGAAACGAATAAGTTAAACTGTGACCCATCTTAAATCTCATAACAAGGCATTTATTGATTGATTTCTGAGATCTTGATATTGTAACTCATTAGTAAATAGTAAAACTACCTGTGAAAGATATCGTATGGAGTTTGCATAATCATAATAATAATGTAAGGACATCCGACGATAAAATAATTCATTTAACTGAGCACATAAACATTGGTACAAGGGTGCGCCAAATACATATACGCCACAAAATAACAATGAGGCCAGTAGCAGTTATCATTGTTTTGTGTGAGTTACGATACTGCCCGGGTGCCCAGACTGAGGCAGGTGGTTTTCTTAGGAGACCACACCCGGAGCTTTTGACCTGAAGATCTAACCCACAAGACAGTAGAGCAACATAAGGAGATGCAGTCCCATAGTAGCCGGTGACCAAAGATTGGTTTATACGCCATTTGTTCCCTCAGGATCCTGGATCCTACTTGCACCATTAGTTTGGAATCGGGATTCTCCAGCTTCCCTAGGTGGATCCTCCATATCCACTAACCCGGTTGAAGAGCCGAACATTCGCCTTTCGTCTTCTCGATTTCGTAAACAACACTCACGCCACGAGAAGGCAGTGAGTAGGACTTCCGTGGGAATGGCTATACATGTATGGCCATGTGAGAGCATTCGGAGGGGGAGAGCGGACTCTCTTCACCCTTGACAGTACCAGGGCATTTAGGGGCGGTATCTGTGATTTACTGACCACTAAAATCGCTATTTTGAGTATTGGAAGCTGTTTAGTACTTAGCTGAAAGAATAGAGGAGTGTCTCGGCAATCTACTTAACATTTTAATCTTTTGATTAAATCATTTGTATCCCGTATTTTTTTTCTCCACTTAACTGATTTGCTCCATAACGTTTGAACAATTTGTTGCTAGAGCTGCTTGGCCATTGCACCACATCTTAGGTCAAACTATTTATTTTAGAATTAGTAAATGATAAATGTAGAGTATGTGATTAATAGAAATCTAACTTCACTTTAATATACTCTACAAAACTTTCGGAAATTAAGGGGCGGTAATAGTCTTTATTTTTCAATATATTCAACTAGGATCTGATAGAGAATGCGAAAAATGTCTGCACCAAAACTGTAGAAGGTTATATAAAATAGCCATAAATTGCAGAAATATATAATGACTGCTGTTCATAAGCTGAATATGATCTTAGTGTCAACTTTACAATGAATTCACTTAGGTTTATTTTAAAGACAGGTCTTGATTCTTGCCTTAACGTAGTTCATTAGATTCCATAAGAAAAGTGTACTACCACTCCTCACTTTGTATCTTTAAGTATTATGAGACTATTCAGATTTATGTTTAAATCATCGTTGATTTCACAACTTATCAACTACGCAATACATTGCTGAGGCGAAACTAACAATCGAACAATAAATATCATCAAATGCCAATTCGACAGTTTTATTTATATTCCAACTGCAGCACAGCTGCAAAATCAGAGAAACTTGGCGCATAGCCCTTACTTTCAAAAGACGTAAAATAGCAGAACTTTGAACGTAAAACTTAGCGTCAACCAAACGATATCTACTCACCAGATATTTATGTATAAATTTAAAAACTGGTCTGATGGAGGCAAGTTTTCAGTATCAATAAGGTTCTAAAACGAAATAAAACTACTAGAAATAAGATTATTGATTTCGTAGATCGGTTATCACAAAAAGGTTACTTATTCGGATAAATACACTCGTCGACCGTGTGAATTAAAGACAATTATGAAACACATTTATGGAATGAGAGTTAGTTTCCCCATTAAAACGTTATCTTCTAAAACATTAATTATCTTGCCATAAAAGCTACAGAAAAGGTCTGACCAATGTAACACTTCAAGCTCAAAAGCTTTTTTCTCCTTTTATTATGTTTTATGGTCTAAATTATGTACTGCCATTTACCTCTCCCAGTCATTTTATTATGAGGAGACAGTTTCGTAGAAAGAAAATGCCTGCCGTATGCAAGCTTAACTGTTTCCCGGAGTCAAAGCCCTTTAAAGAACCAACTCTCTGGCTTGCAAGTGCTAGGATGATGCTAAAAATTACTTTACAACATACTGCAAACCCTCAATCAATATGATAGCACCGATAGATGATGAGATATATCATTTATAAGGTTTTTGTAATTAGTAAAAAAACTACCGTCTGAAGTCACAAACGGTATACGACTATGTTGGACACCCAACCTCCCAGGTCTGGGGAAATTTTGGTGTTTTGGTGCCAATTTCCCCAAAGTTTACTATAGGAACTTCCCCAATCGGGGAGCTCAGGTAATTAATTACTAATGAACTGAGTAGAAAAGAATTCAAACTCGCTGCCAGCAACAACATATAAAATATACGAACTGAATACAAGAGTAGTGACCCAAAAAGCACAGAACTGTAGTACTAGTAAGTATGAATTCAAACTATCTGATTAGTCCATTTAAAGGTACTTTCATCCATATATCAGAATGTTGGCGTATTACCGAGATTTGAATACTTGTGATAAATAATCACACTGATTAATCGAATAAAAATCATCAGATAACGGATCAAAGGCCTATTGACTATAAATGACACATTTTAAGACTGACCAACTCTGTTAATTCAAAACATCTACGCACAGCAGTACATCTAAATATCTCGCTTTTGAAAGATTAAAACACATTCAGATCTGACCAGACCCAGATTTGTGTAGTAAGGACAGAGGGCCTACAGCCTATGTTATTCCTTTTCTATTATGCTGCTGCGAGTGTACAGTTTTCTCTTGAAGGAGTCAACTGAAGGTGCGGACACCACTGCTTCGGACAGCAGGTTCCAAGTATTGATGACTCGGTGTGAAAGCGTGTATACATCGCGTATTTTTTTCGTTCTTGGCATTTCTACTCACCAGCTATGTCCTCTGAGTTGTGCCGATCTGGTGTGATGAAACAGAGATAATATGATAGGTACAAAATCATTTCTCAGTATTCTGTAAAGAACCTTGAGGTTGTAGTGACACACATTTATCACGAGAATACGACTGGCTTAATGAAAACAATCATTATCATAACCAACTATACCCGTGCTTGTCTTAACGTGCTTTTGTTTAACTGTGCTAATTACAGCCATTTCGTGCTTCCATTACCTTCCATCATTGTTCCGCGGTTTTTGACTTTGTTCGCACGTACTCCATTCTCCTGCTTCCGCTTGTACCAGTTCTTGGCACGATCTTGGTATTCGATCGATACCACGAGATCGCCAACGAAATAAATCTGGTTACGTTCAACCTACGCCTTCTGATTTCCTTGGCACGTGTTTCTTGGTAGCGGCGTTCATAGTCAATTGGGACTCGACGCCGCGCTCAAGGTACTCCATTAAGTACTGGTCTCCAGATGGAGCACTTGGAATTTACTCTTACTTCCTGTCTACGGCCTAGTAGTATATCCTTAAGTCATTTTAATAGAGGTCCGGAAATATCAAGGCTTTCTAACCTCCATGACAGTCTAGTAGCTGGTACCTTGTCAAAAGCCTTACCGAAGTCTATGTAGACAACGTCCACTGAGTTTCCGTTGTCTGGTGCCTCTATGCAAAATTCCCTTTCTAAAACCATGTTGTTCTCTGTTTAACAAGTTATTGGTTTCCATAAATGCCATTATGGTCCGTTTGGCTATTCTTTCTAATATTTTAACTACAACACTAGTGAGGCTTACAGGTCTGTAGTTCGATGGAACTTATCTTGGTCCTGTTTTATGTATTAGAGTGACGATTGCGTCATTCCAGTCTACAGACAACACATCTTGGTCAATTGAAATATTGAATATTACAGTCAGATGAGCCATGATGTCTCAAGATTTTGGGGTGTATTTAATCTGGTACTGTTGCTTTTTCCATGCCTGAGGTGTTAAAAGCCTTAAGCACATCGTCATGATCGAAGTGCACGGTGAGCATGTGGTCTGTTGACTCAGTATTTTGATTTGGTTCTTTGTTTAGAGGAGATTCCTGTGTGAAAACTGCCCTAAAATAGTAAGCCATAGACTCTGCTTTTCCCTCTATCATTTCTGATTCACTTCCTACTTTAATTAGGCTGGGAATCCAAAGATGCATCCTTGTTCTGTAGTTTACGTACGAAAATATTCTCTTGGGCTGCTTGAGTGCATACTGTGCAAACTGCATTTCATATTTTCTTTGAGCCTCCCGAACTTTAGTTATACACGTGTTTCTTACCGATCTGCAGCGTTTAATTGTACCTACTGTGCCACGGCGGATAGCAACCTTCCAACATTTCTTCTTTTGTCCTAGTAGACGTCGAGTACCCCGACCTATCCAGAAACGGCCGTGCTTCTTCTACTTTGGGACTGGCCAGGGTGTGCATGTTTGACTTACCCGATTGTATAACTGCCTGAAATGAGTCCATGCCTCTTGTACTGATCCCCTTGAATCAATTTCCCAGTTTTTAACCGGTGCTGCGGAGTTGACTGCCTCCATATCTGCCTTCCATATATTAGGACGGGTCGGTGCATCTCAGGCATGAATTTGAATAATATGACTGCATGGGCAGTTCGCCACTGTAATGGGAGGAAAGTCATTTGGCCAACATCAACACCATGTGTGAAGATCAAATCTAAAAGAGGAAAAGAGTTGCTTAAGTCATATCTTATGGGATTTCTAATGTTTTGGGATAAAGCTAATCCAATCGAGGTTTCTAACAGTTTATAATCAAACGATGTTATTGATGACCCTACTTCTAAGTTAACCCAGTTTATATACGGTGCATTAAAGTCGCCTATTACAAGGATTTTACCACTGTTACACCAGGACTTAAGTTTACTTAGGAGAAAATCATCTGCTACACATTCTGGACTGCGAAATACTACAACTAATTCAACATCTTACCGTCTACATTTCAGCTTGCATCGCACCAGTTCACATGTGCCACTGTTTCGACTGCTCTTAGGGGGTAATTTTCGTGTACAGGACAACACCGCCTCCCCTACGGTTTGATCCATCAGCCCTACTGGGTAAAAATCAGTCAACTGAATTTCATTATCTAACACTTCTGACGTTAACCACATTTCCGAGACAGCAATAATGCCCGGTTTTTCTCTATCCACCACTGACTTGAGCTCCGTCATTTTATTTAGTAGGCTGCGAGCATTTGTGTAGCATACCTTTAAGTTTGTGGAGAACTTTCCCTTACGACCCAGAGTGGTTTGGAAATCGTTTTGCTCCGAACTTTTACGATTTGGAAACCCTTAAGAACGAGGTTTATTTCACCGTTTCGGAGGCGCTCGTTTATTTCCATGTATACAGCTCATCTCTTAATACGATCAGCTAGGGTGAGATCCTCATAGACGTATATTCCGGATCCAATCACTTTACGTGATTTATCTAGAATCAGGTTCCTTTCTTCAACCGTGGTGAAGAGACGGCTTCTCTGAGGACTTTCAGAATCCACCTTTTGTCCTATTCTATGAAGCTTACAGATGCTAACTCCTGAAACTGTTTCTGGGAGTAGGTTGCTTATTAAGGACTTAATGTGATCGGGGTCGTGCTCAAATCTAGCCATTGGTTCCTTATAGGAAGGTTCTCTTAATTTATGAAAGATGGCTGACCTTTCAGTGAGGTCTGTCTTGACACGCTGAGAAATTTCAGCTCCTGAAACCATCTCTTCCTTGCACTCCGATTTTGATTCAGCGTCAAGCGTAGAGGTTACGTTTTGTTTTCTTTCTTTTTTTCCCAGGCGTGACTACAAACCACTCAATTACCTTATTTTTTCTCTTAATCACTTCCTCTACATTGCTAAGATGGGCTCATCGATAGTTTGTATTACATCGATTTGCGAATCCGGAACTGAATCCGCAGAATACCATGCATCAGTACGGTCTATAAGCAGTTTCTTCTCGGCGCGCTTCTTCTTTCTCCTAGTAACAATGCCTACATCCATATGCTCACCTGTTTCCCTGATGAGGTCCACCTTTATTGTCGCATTTAAGTCTAGAGCTACGCTCGTGATAACGCTCTCAATTTCCATGGAAGCAGAGTTTTGATCATTCTCTGCTGCCTGTTTATCAGAGGGCAATTTCCTAGCTAAGTTTAGCTGCTCAATCGCCTCTAGAATCAGCAGGGACTTAGTGGAACCACATGCTTAACACAACCAACGTGGTAATGGCTTGTAGCACCGTTTATATGTAGCCGGTGTGAGTCCGGTGCACACATTCTGACACCACCTATTGCAGCTATCACATTGCATGCCCTCATTGACCAGGAAATAGCATGCTGGCCTACCACAACGACGTTTCAATTGCGTCATAGATTTGTTTTATGTTTCTATATAAATAAAATGAAGAAACAATAAAAAATCCCACTTCAGTAGCTACAGAAAGATTTTAACAACTATGGATACAGACAATACTCAAAGATATATTCGACGACTAAGACTAATCGCCAGTGCCTTTAGTTTTATGCATCTGTACTCGTTAAGTACAGATAATAAACTTCTCTAGAGAAAAAGCGGTACTCTTGAGGATTACTTTAACTGAGATAATTCAATTAAAGCAAAAACAGTAGTCTTGATGCGTAATTTAACGATCAATACTATAAAAATTT